AGTCTCGCTCTGTTGCCCAGGCTGGAGTGCAGTGTTGCAATCTCGGTTCACTGCCAACCTCTGTTACCTGGGTTCAAGTGATTCTCGTGCCTCAGCCTCCTGAATAGCTGGGACTACAGGTGCATGCCACCACACCCAGCTAATTTTTGTATTTTTAGTAAAGACAGGGTTTCAATTTAGTTGGCCAGGCTGTTTTTGAACTCCTGACCTCAGGTGATCTGCCCGCCTCGGCCTCTCAAAGTGCTGGGATTACAGGTGTGAGCCACTACACTACACCGGCCTAAATTTTTTTTTTTAATTAAAAATAGAAATAGGCCAGGCATAGCGGCTTACATGTGTAATCCTAGCACTTTGGGAAGCCGAGGTGGGTGGATCACCTGAGGTCAGGAGTTCGAGACCAGCCTGACCAACATGGAGAAACACCATCTCTACTAAAAATACAAAATTAGCCGGGCGTGGTGGCGCATGCCTGTAATCCCAGCTATTCAAGAGGCTGAGGCAGGAGAATAGCTTGAACCTGGGAGGCGGAGGTTGGGGTGAACGGAGATCACCCCGTTGCACTCCAGCCTGGGCAACAAGAGTGAAACTCCGTCTCAAATAAACAAATAATTAAAAGAAAAAAAACAACTTTTTATTTTTGAGTACAGTTATAGAGAGCAGATTCATGTGGCATGTCAACTGGGCCCTTTTAGAGTTACAAAGCAACTTAAAGGAATTCCAGACACTCTAGAAGAACAGGGAAGCCTTTAGCAGTCACCTGAACATAAATTCAAATGTGCTCTTCCCACGTCCCAGGCACCCGGTGGGGCCTCGGTGGCACCTGCGTCAACGTGGGCTGCATCCCCAAGAAGCTGATGCACCAGGCGGCACTGCTGGGAGGCCTGATCCAAGATGCCCCCCACTACGGCTGGGAGGTGGCCCAGCCCGTGCCGCATGACTGGTAAGGACCTGGCGCCGTGGCATTCTGGTACTTTTCTTCTACTCTTGGGTGGAAGAGGAAGAGGGGGCTTATCCTCCAGGAACCCTCACAGGGAGTGCGCCCTAGGATGGGTTTCTCAGCCAGGGGCGACTCTGCGCTGTCTGTTGCAGACATTTGGGAGTATCTGGAGACAGTTTTGGTTGTCACTGGGAAAGCATTTGATCCCCTTCTGTGGGGAGCTCAGGGATGCTGCAACCGTGCACAGCACAGCCCCACCAAGAACAGTCCATCTCCAAGGCCTGGAATGCGGGGTGGGAGGCCGCTTTAGCTGAGTTCTTTTGGGAAGGGGACCACGTGGTCCAGCCACACCCACAGTGGCTCAGATAGGCTCTGCCTGCTGTGAGTAGCCTTTGGGGCACAGAGCAGCTGCATCTGGATAGCCGTGGGTCAGAGCCCCTGTTTTCTGTGAGTCCAAAGGTCCATAGCCCCAAGCCTGGGACAGGCGGTGGCGCATAGGGATGGATGTCACGTTTTGCCACCTTTCAAAGCACTCTTGTTTTTTGATATTTCTATGAACGTACCATTTGAATCTAATAGTCCACTGTGAGACCCTGCAGCTAACACCTGTGTTGTGACTTTTACATTTTGTTTTGTGTTTTTACAGGAGGAAGATGGCAGAAGCTGTTCAAAATCACGTGAAGTCCTTGAACTGGGGCCACCGTGTCCAGCTGCAGGACAGGTACTGAAGCTCTCTTGGGGAGTGGGCCGCCCTCTGGGCCTTCTCCCGAGCGTTTCGTGCCTGGACACACACTTACTTACTGTGCAGAGCACGCCCTGGCAGGCTCTGGGGATTCAGGTCCTGCTCAGGGGTGGGGATGAGGACAAGGAGCAGACGGGAGTGACTGCAGGAGAAGGGGAGACTGCCCTTTGATGCTGAGGACAGCCTGGAGGTGCTGCCAAGGAACAAGTGAGGCCACATTGGCAGAATGGCCAGAGCCCAGGGCTGCACAGGGAGGAGGCGCTTGGGGCTGGGAGGCCTCAGGCCAGAGAGCGTGGACACGACTGGGCCTGGGGCTGATAAGTGGTGAGGGCCATCCCAGTGGCAAGCCCCCACCCCGTGAACCCCCGTCTTACTGTACACCTCCAGCTCCTTGGGTGTGGGTGCAGGGGCCTGGTGCTTTCCGCTAGAGCAAATGTCCCTACTTGGTCACTGTTCCTGTCAGCTCCTGGGGGATCTCCAGCACAGAGGCTGATGCTCCTTGGGCCTGCAACCTTCTCCTGGGGCTCAGCTGCCAGCACAGCAGATGCCTGAAACTGGTACCACCTCAGGCCCAGCCTTTCTCCCGGGACTGTGGCACTGCCTGTGCCCCATGGGCTGTGGAGGGGACAGTGGTCCTGCAGAGGTCTAGTGGCTCTCCTCATGCACCATTTGCTTGGCCCCAGGCGGGGTCTTCCTGGGGCTTCACAGCAGGCAGCAGTTTTGTGCCCGCTAAATCCAGGAAAGAGAAGCCAGGAAGCCAACTGCTTGCCCTCCACCTGGGCTTCACGAGCTCTCCCGCTATCCAGGGAGCTAAGCTACATTGTGCTGTGGAGTTTCTGCTTTGCTCTGTGGGGCTCTGTATCCCCTGGTGCAGTTTCCTGGGGGCAGCAGGCTCTGCCCTCCTTCCTCCCTGCCCTGGGCAGCTCCTGGGCGGGCACCAAACAGGCCCAGCCCACTGCTTGCTCTGGAGCCACCAGCAGAAGGAGGCTGGGGTGCACCTGGGCTGTTTCTGCTTTTTCACTCTTCTGAAAAGTGCTGCCGTGAGCATTGTGTGGCTGTGTCCCACAGCTGCTTCCTGGCTGTTGAGGTGATTGAAGGGCTCTTGCTATGGGAACTTCATGCACCTCAGACAGCCCATGGAGGCGCAGGCTTGCTGGTGGGGAGAAGGCAGACTCAAGCAGGAGGCAGAGCCTTCCCAGAACCCTTTCTGCTGCACGGTCCTTTTGTCATTAGAAAGTGTCGGTCGGATGCGGTGGCTCATGCCTGTAATCCTAGCATTTTGGGAGGCTGAGGTGGGAGGATCACTTGAGCCCAGGAGTTGCAGACCAGCCTGAGCAACATAGTTTTGTTGCTACATGTCCCTACAAAAAATAAAATGAACTAGCCAGGTGTGGTTGCCCATGCCTATAGTTCCAGTTACTTGAGACGAGGCTGCTGTGAGCTATGAT